GCGTGCGTGCGTGCGTGCGTGCGTGCGTGCGTGCGTGCTGTGCGTGCGTGCGTGCGTGCGTGGCGTGCGTGCGTGCGTGCGTGCGTGCGTGCGTGCGTGCGTGCGTGCCGTGCGTGCGTGCGGCGTCGCGTGGCGTGCGTGCTGTGCGTGCGTCGTGCGTGCGGGGTCGTGCGTGCTGTGCGTGGGTGTGGTGTGCGTGCGTGCGGTGCGTGCAAGTTGCAACTGTGCATGCGAGTGTTTGTACTGCGTGTGTATATATGTATGTGAGTGTGTAGGCGGGGGCGGGTGCATATGTGTGTGTAGTGTATATATATATTTGTGTTCACTGTAACCGGTCATGCATGACACCAGACAGTTATACAACTTATACTAAATCTTGTAGATGATCATGAATTACAATTACAATGTAATACCGTAAACAAAAATATAAAAAGTCAAATATCTTTTGGCTGGTGTTGTGATCTGTTTGTCTGTCCAATACTTGACTACTATGATGAGTCTATGGCTAGACTATGCATGACTACCAGTGAAAAAAATACACGGGGGCTCGGGGCGATTTAGCCCCCGAAATGCCAAAAAGAGCCCCCGTAAATTTGCATAGCGTTCAATGCAAACCAAATTTTAGAGTGCTATTTTCATGCACGCGAGCTTGAAAAGTAGCCCTTGAAAAATACATTTAAATTTTTTCCCTGATGACTACTGTATAGCGTTCAACGCTAGCACATTCTGCGTATTTGAGCGGTATTTCACAAAGAATGAATAGACAACACAGGCTGTATCATTCAAACTACGGATATTTCCGACCATTAAACTGGAAATTGCTGACAGTATCCTGCTCCCCCGCCGGTACCGCGCCGCGCCTTCGTTGCACGGCGATATACTGATAATACCGCAGATGGGGTCGTTGTCGTATCAGGTACTACAGATATGTACCCGAGGTAGTTTTAGGTTGTTTAGTATTATGGTTATATTTTTATATGAGGTATGTTTAGGGTTAGGGTTAGTGTTAGGGTTAGGGTTAGGGTACACTTCTGTAGTACAAGTCTGGTACGTTCACTTTGTGTACATACATATATGTACCTCGGGTACATATCTGTAGTACTTGATACGACAACGATCCCTTGAGCGATAATACCGTGCACCACTAGTCGCCACTGCAACGATGTCTGGATAGGGGGGACTAGTCGTACGTCACGTAATCTGTAATCACGTTTTGCAAACGATCACAACTTAAACCTGTTGGTGGCAGTGATTTATGCCTGTATGCCTACTGAAAGCGTAACCTGCTTCCCAAAGCACTGTCTGTCTGTCATGCGTGGCAATTGTCATTCCTCGGATAGACATACGTTTCGTGTTGCGTGGTCCTGATAGCTTTGCTGGTCGTGTGGGTAGACCACGCTTCCCCAGGAACTCTTATTTTATACCGTATACAAAAGGTATAGTGATTGCTACCTGAGCGTACTGACGCGCTGAGACAGTTCGCTCATGAAAATCGGCACACTATTTATCTGACAACTGCTGGCCTATTGTGTATTTATGCATTAAATCTATATATATATATATATATATGAATGCATAAATACACAATAGGCTGGCAGTTGTCAGGTAAATAGTGTGCTGTTGGTTATGAGCAAACTGTCATATATATATATATATACATATATGAGAGATACTAAATTTTTGACGAGGTAATGACGAGCTATGTGTGCATGCAGCATGAGGATATATACGTCCACGCCCGTGTTAAAATCATGCTAAACTCAGTATGGCTGAGAGGGTCTATGTCCCCCAGGGTACTGCCGGAATATACCCTGGGTACGGTCCGGTATACCGGAACGTACCCTGGTACTATCTAATATGCCGGACCGTACCTCGCCTACTCCACTAACGAGTCTAGGGAGTTGCCTACTCCCTAACCCTAACCACATCAGATAGTTACCACTTACCAGGGTACGTTCCGGTATACCAGACCGTACCCAGGGTACGTTCCGGCAGTACCTTGGGGGACATAGACCCTATGAGCCTCAGTATGGCAGTGTTGTTGTTGGTGCTGGTTGTCGACGTCGCATCACGCGGTCGTGGCCTAGCCGTGCAATGTAAACACACTCACGATGAAAGGCGGGTTGCCGTGCCGCTTGGAGGCACCTGCTATCACGTATACCTGTCTCTCGGTATTAGAGAAAGAATCCTCGCTTCAAAACACTACGCCTGTCTGTCTGTCTGTCTGTCTATACACTATAAGCCTGCTGTAGACATCGTATTCAGAGCGTCTGGCCGGGGTATTGCTGTTCAGATTACGTGTGCGTAGTGCATCTATGCTAAGAATCAAGCCTGTTGCCTTGTAAGTGGTCTACCTATGTTTAGGTGTAACTGTATGCGGCTGTTAGGGTATCGTGTAATTTCACTGTTAAATTCCCATGTATTTTGCATATTGGAACCCTTACTGGTCTCTCCCGTATCTCTGTATCTCTTTCTCATTTTCTTTCTTCTTTTCTCCATTAATTGTAAGCATTTTTTCACTCGACCCGAGAAATGGCAATCCACATTGTTGTGTTGACAATGACTGCCTGAGCGATGCATAGAATTACTGCCTCTTCAAGTTCTGCCCTTTCAGTCAATTCAAGTTGCCAGATACATAGATAGATAGATAGTTGCTCTATGTCTGTCCTGCTTTGAGTGCAGCGAAATTGCCTCACACAACACCTCTTGCAGACACTGTGCTTGTGTGTTCTACTGTGATCCTACATTCCAGTTTTGATTGCTTAGTCTTTCCAGATTGAAGGGGAGTCTCTAAATGTCAGTGCCTCGAAACCAGCTATCGTAGTGAGAGCTATAAATCCGCGGCTGATGACGCTGTCATGCTCCGTAAAACATCGAGACAGATACAGTCACCGGCGGCTGCTTGCCGAGGCTGCTGCCCTGCGGTGAAGCTTTCCCCCTCATCGTCTTGTCACAGGCCTAATTGATTTTCAGCAGGCTTTAATAGGGCAAGCCGCAGTGGGGCATTGTAACGTGTAAATAACTGCTATTCGGTTCTACTTGCGTGGCTTGAGAAATAAGTACTACCTAGTAGACGTTCTACTAGAACTGATGGCTGAAAATATGCTGGACAAATCCAAAGCTTTATGTAGTTAAATTCGAAGTTGTCACTTCGGAACAAATCGTTGCGGAAAAAAACGGCTATCTACCTATGCCTGTTAATTTGCCTTCGTAATTGTCATACAGTCGATTTGTAGCGAACACACTAATGCACTGCTTGTTTTATTTCCAAGCAGCTGAATTCTGTATTCATCTGACGCCGCTGCTTTTAGCGGAGAAACCATGCTGATTGCCTGTAATCACCCTGAAGCCCATATTACGCCAATTTGCGCCTGTACTAAAAGGCTTTGTGTCTCGCTGCCATGCTTTGTGTGGTCTACACGTCCCCAGTCTCACCTGAGTTCATGTCCAATTCTCCTGCGTTTTTTGCTCCAATTCTTAGCAGAACCCTGCAACAAAAAGGTGAATCATAGTCTGTCATCGACCGTCTCTCATTGTTCACACAGTGAAGCATAGGTGGCGGGCTTCTCCCGCGAGAGGCTGCACGGGATTTCGTGATTATGCGAAAAACATTTTAGCGCTTTGCTTACAAGGTTGCAGCATCCCCCGCGATCATCAATGTGTTAATTGTATGCAAGCTTTTCTTAAATGCATAGTTAATGAGGATAAAGTGTTACATGATAATGGCATAACACTTCGAGCATTCAATTTTTTTATCAATCACTGTAGCTGTGTATGTGAAGTAGCAGCATAGCAAAATCCAGCAGCCTTTATGGGCTAATATGGCTGTATTTGGCTTAGCAATAGCATCTAATCTGTTGAATTATAATTAGGGAATATGTCAGCTAGGTAAGTTTAACAGGTATGGTTTCAACAATTGCTAACCTGAAGTGTTAAAGAAGTGAGATGTAAATTTTCTAGTTTTCAAGAAGATGTTGACCTTGTATGATTGCGGCAGCACATGCTCAGATCTGTTTTTCCTCGTCCATGCAACACGAAAACATGCTATCACTGGTCAATATCCTTTAAGATTACCAGCATTCTACAGCTCATGTAGAAGCCTAGAGCATTAAAATACGGTTTTGCTGAGCTGTGAGTACACGTCAGCATGCATTACCGTGCCCGTGTATTCGAAGAGATACAGATACCTTCATGTGCGTGGTACACAAAATCTATTTTTGTTTGTAGAATCATGCTTGCACAGTAGACGTTAGATTGGCAATAGTACATAGAGACTCTGCATTGAACACTACCTCTGTACATTTGCTGCTGCCGCACGCACCTTGTGCGGAGTGATACAGTCGCTTGTGTTAAATCCACCTTGCACGCCTGCAGTGCGCTAATAGTTGCACAGGTGAAATATTACGGCAGAGTACTGTAGAGCCCTGCTATTGTGCTGCAGTTCGTGCAGCATCTTGCATGCGCAAATATCAGTGCAGAATACGTGCAGACTTTGCGCCGAGCTCCACTCATAATAATAACTGCTTGCACTGCATAATGCCATAAATTAATATAACATATTTTTAAAGTAATGCGGCGTGCAAGGCTGCAAGCGTAAGAAAGAGATTTTACATGGTGATAAAATGGTTTAATTATTCACCTACAATGAATGTTCAAACGATACAGTAATTGTTTATTCAATTATTGTAAATGGGACCAAAATCTGATGGTCCTCCTGATTATTTGATGGCCCCGGACCACCGGACCATCACTTATTTCGACCCCTGTACAGATATACTTGTAACATAATACTGCTTGCACTGCATAATATAACATATACTTACATTATATATACACATATATACATATACTTGTAACATAATACTGCTTGCACTGCATAATATAACATATAGTTACTATATACATCATATACATATACATAAAAATATACACTTTACTTGTTAACATTAAACTACTGGCTTGCACTGCATAATATACACAATACCTGCTTGTGCCTGCAGGTGACCTTCAAGACACCGGTGAAGTCACCGCGTAAGAGGAAGCCTGCTGCTGCTGGCTGAGGAGAAGGAAGGCATGGCGGTTGTGCAGCGGTGACAGGCGCTCTGCTACAAGCAGAATCTTTTCTGCTATCTCGCGTGTTGGACTGAGCAGGACGGCAGTGGGCAGAGCGGGACGAGGGCGTGCGTCACGCGACGAGCGTAACACGCAGGAGTAATACGGCTCATCGCCCGGCAGATCGTCGACGACTCATACGCACATCGTGACGTACGCCGCGTCGCATCCGGGGTAAGCGAGGTCAGCGATTAGCAACGCCGGTCGCGAGGTCAATTGGTATCCTGGGGTCGCGAGTTTCAGCGGTTTTGCATCCGGGGTCGCGAGTTCAAGTTGCTCCAGGGTCGCGAGGTCGAACAGTTGGCAATGTTGGTCCCTCTAAAAAAGTTGCCGCACATGTAAGCACGTTTTGACAGTAGTGGATGAAATAATAGTGGTAGCTGCTGTTGAGCTAGTGATAGTAATTGCGGCGTAAGGATGTGGTCATATTTAAATGATGTCTTCCGCCCTCTTCCCATAACTAAAGTTGTAACAAAATCAGACTAAGACCACTCCTAAGTGATATGGAACCTTCTGCTAAGTTGAAGTTGGACATTAAAAGCTGCGTTTCCTTCCAAAACTCCATTAATGGAGCTAGTCAAAGTAGTGTTCTGTGCACAGCATTTTGTGCATGAAATTTTTATGATGAGATACGGCTCAACACAAAAGCTGGCATTAAGTTTTCGATTTTCAGCTGTCGGGCATAAACATCCACTCTTGTGTGGTGTACATATACAACAGTGCGGCCAGAAGGTCGACTATTTTGTGAATGTTACTTTACAGTGAGTTTACTATAAGGTATTTATTTGAAATGGCGCTTTTATTTCGTTGTGCACAAAGTATTATCGCAGGTGAGTACACCCGGGCCAATCTGAATCCCTGGTGAATTTTTATGCGACAATCAAGAAATGTTGATGTGTGTTCGAACATTATGACAGCGTTTCATCGGGTGAATGCAGTTTTAATGTACATAACGAACGTTTTGGCAGATGCTTGACAGTGTGAGTGTCAGTTAAGGGAAAGTGTCATTACGAGTGATAATCATACAGTTCCACATGTGTTTTAAGTTGAAGTAAGGGTTTAGTAAGGTAGAAGTGGTGGTTGTCGGTGCAAGTAACTGTAGTTTGTAACGTAAAGTTGGTAGTGCATAAGTCGTGTTGATGCAAGGTCAGTTATGTAGCCCTCATTGAAAATCAATACGATGCTGAAAACTCTAAAGATGCGCAGCTTCAATTCTAAGCCCTTACGATCACATTCATGCAGTGAGAAGTATGTATGTATGAGTGACGAGCTTGTGTCGTGATGGAATGGCGGTCACATCATGTTTAACCAGCTGTCGGCCCTGTTTGTTGGGACAGTACTGCATGCACTCACTCTGCACACACATTAATTCGCCACATACACAAAACGGCCAGTATTCTATTAGGGTTCTTCACGGCTGCTTTCTAGTCGGTGTGTGGTTAAAAACGACGTTCGGCTGTTATTTGTTCTGCGGCAATTACGTCCGTCGTTGCAAAATCAATAGTCACATATTTGCACTCGTACCAAAACACTGTGTAAGCGAAAACTGAGAGCAGCGTGGAAATGGAATTGAATAGCAATCCCCGCAGTACTTATTCTGACTATGAACATGCGCTCAGTTGCGATGACCTCTCATTGCTGCCTGCATTGCTTGTTTCTCATCACGCAACGAAGGCATGTTTATGATGACTGTATGTAAATAACATTTATTAAATGGGTTTGGTGGTTGGGAGTAGTCAGCAGGAATGTTGGATAATGATCTACAATAGATTGTCAGTCATTTCGCATCACATGACGAATCGTGAACAGACTTGTCATGTAGGGTGAGAGCTAGATGCGATAGAATCTCGCAGTGCGTGACTCATCGAGTATTAATCAGCTGGCGTTTATGGCACACCCAGCACTGAATCAGATACGAATGTGTTCTGGCTGTTGAAATGGCACTCATTCGCGCTGTGGAGATTATAATATCAATATTATTGCCTGGTTGATAACCAGAAAACACACCCAGAATAGTATCTCAGAGTGAGCTGTTATTGATTGAACTTTCCTGGATAACAGCCAGTGACTACTTGCAAGTTATGTGGGCCACGTTTAGCCTTGATTCTGCTCATTACTTAAAAGGATCACTGCACGAATCATAGTAACGCTATGCGGCTGCTTTTCAGAACTGTTGTAAAGCCGGCGGCGGAAAACGTCGCACAGGATAGCAGAGACGACTGCGTAAAACCCCTGAGGGAGAACACGCCCGTGACTGCTCCGGTAACACCCGCCGCAGCGCCACCTACTGCCGCGACCTTGCCTGTGAATGTTGTAAGCAACGGAGACGTTGACATAACAGTTGAAGAGGTCGCAAAGGTCAAAGAGGCCGCGAAGGTCGAGGAGGCTGCAAAGGTCGAGGAGGATCAGAAGGCGCGACCGGCAGATGTCGGCGCGTTCAACGTTGAAGATCTGATCCCATCGTTTGAGACCCTCTCCCTCTACAAGGGAGTCGCAGAGGAAGATGCAGTGAACACACATGCCGAGCCTGTTATTGAACCAGCTGTCGTCGAAGCTGATAAAGTTGTCGAGCCAGATACGAATCAGTTGGTGTGCCCAACTGGAAATTCTGAAGGTTTTGCTGCGGGTCAGAATACTGTCATACAGGAACAAGTCCAGCCAGTGCCACCTGGTGACATATCAGAGGAACTGAAGGGAGATTTGTCGTGTGGAAGATCAGAGCTAACTGACCAAGAAACACCTAGTTTCAACGCCAGTGAAACTGAGGTAAAGCTGGTTACTGTAGTACCAGAGACGAACGAGACAGTACCCTCTTTTAGCGAACAAGATACATGTGCCACAGCAGAACGTCATGTAGAACCTGATTGTATCGCAGAAGTCGAGAAACTAACGACCAGCACAGGGGATATTCTCACTGGTGAACAAGGGGAGTCTATTTCAGGTTGCATAGACCGAGTAGCTAGTGAGCAGTCTAGCGTGAGTACCGCTCGCTGTGTGGAAGAGCCTTGTCTCATATCTCAGTGTCCCGAGGAGTTTCCTGCTCCAGTAGAGGACCCAGCTGTGTGTGCAGAAGAGCTTGGTCTTCCAGTAGAGAAGCCGTCAGTGTCTCTAGAGGAGCTTCCTCTTCCAATAAAGACAGCGGCGCCATCTCTAGAGGAGCTTCCTCTTCCAATAAATACAGCGGCGCCATCTCTAGAGGAGCTTCCTCTTCCAATAAATACAGCGGAGCCATCTCTGGAGGAGCTTCCTCTTCCAATAAAGACAGCGGCGCCATCTCTAGAGGAGCTTCCTCTTCCAATAAAGACAGCGGAGCCATCTCTGGAGGAGCTTCCTCTTCCAATAAAGACAGCGGAGCCATCTCTAGAGGAGCTTCCTCTTCCAATAAAGACAGCGGCGCCATCTCTAGAGGAGCTTCCTCTTCCAATAAAGACAGCGGCGCCATCTCTAGAGGAGCTTCCTCTTCCAATAAAGACAGCGGCCCCCAAAATCTATTCTTTGTTTGTGAATCACTGGCCTTGCACAGTAGAGCGTTAGATTGGGCATAGCTACATAGCCAGACTCTGCATTGAACACTACCTCTGTACCATTTGGCTGCCGCCGCCACACTTACCCCCCTCGCCGCCCCCCCCCCCGGGATCCTTGCTGCGGAGTGATACAACGTCGGCTTGTGTTAAATCACCGTTGCACACCTGGCAGTGCGCGCTAATAGTATGCAACAGGTGAACATATTAAGGGCAGGTACTGTAGAGGGCCCTGCTTTTGTGCTGGGCAGTCTCGTGCAGGCATCTTGGCATGGCAAATATCAGGCTGGAACACGTGCAGACTTTGCATCGAGCTCTCACGTCTATAAATAAATAACTGCTTGCACCTGCATAATGCCATAACCATTAAATAACATGTTTTTAAAGTAATGCGGCGTGCAAGGTTGGGAAGCGTAAGGAAAGAGTTTTACATTGGTGATAACATGGTTTAATTATTCACCTACAATGATGATCAAACGATAGCAGTAATTGTTTATTCAATTATTGTAAATGGAACCGAAATTCTTGATGATCCTCTGATTATTTGATGGCCCGCGGACGCACCGGACGCGCATCAATTATTTCGACTTGTACACATATACTGTAGGCAGTAATACTGCTTGAACTGCATAGTATAACATATACTTACATATATACACATATACATATATTTTGTAACATATAATACCTGGCTTGCACTGCATAATATAACATATAGTCTACTATATACATCATAACATATACATAAAAATATACACTTTACTTGTTAACATTAAACTACTGGCTTGCACTGCATAATATACACAATACCTGCTTGTGCGCTGCAGGTGACCTCAAGACAGCGGTGCAAGTCACCCGCGTAAGAGAAAGC